GTCAAGTAGAGGGGTTGATTTGCACTAATTTTAAGTATAGGGGCTGATATGCCAAAATAATGGAAGTATGGGTCTGAATTGCACCTTCTGCCTTTCAAAAATGTCGAAAACGAAATAAGTCATTTTTGCAGTTTGTTCCTAGAAGAAAGTAATAATTAAAAACGTAAATATAACCAAAGTGTAGGAACAAACTGCAAAAATGACTTATTTCGTTTTCGACATTTTTGAAAGGCAGAAGGTGCAATTCAGACTCTTTACATCCATTGTTGTGGCATATCAGCCCCTCTACTTAAAAGTAGTGCAAGTCAGCCCCTTACTTGACATAACCCGCGAATCAGTACTTCTGCCGATGATGACATCATCAAACGTCATCTTTCTGTCTACGTCCTCGTTCCTCCGTTACAATGGCTCGGTGCTGATATGGCATTGGGTGAGTGATGTGGTCAATTTAAATTATAAAATTACTAAAGGGTCTTTGTTTTCTTTTTTTTTTCTTCCATCCATCATCTCTATCTTCCTTTACATTCTCTCTCTTCCTACTACAAATATACATTTTTTCCTAAAAATTCAAGTTGAATTTTTCTTCAGGTAAGTTTAAATCAAAAAAATAAAAAAAAAATCCTCAAAATATGAAAATATAAAAATTGAGAAAATTTTGAAATTAAAATCAAAACTTGTGACTTTATTGATACCAAGTGATTTGTTCATTGAGTCTCCATTTTCAATAACTCAAAATCTATCTTATTTTATTTTAAATAAAAATATATTTAATATTTATTTCTTTTAAAAAAATATCTCAAAAATAGATTTATATTATTTTTAATAAAAATACAAACTTAAAAAAATAAATAAAAAATTATGGATTCATATGTGTCCCTTTGCTACTAAAGTAACATCCTAGTATAAATCAAAAACCTTATGTAGTAAAAAGGTACATATAAATCCATAATTTTTTTTTCAATTTGTGTTTTTATTAAAAAAATATATGAATTTATTTTGAGATATGTTTCTAAAAGAAATAAATATTATATATGCTTTTATATAAAATAAAGTCAGATATATTTTGAGTTATTAGAAATG